CCTGTTTCCTGTTTACTCTTTTTTAGTTTCACTTTTGGTTTTTATGTTCGTCTGTGTCCAACAACAGCTCAGCAAATTCAGGTTAAAATAATGGCTAAAGTACCAAATGTTTCAAACTCAGGTGAGTGATCTTTTTTATATAAAACTATTCACACCTTTAGCAGAATAAACAAAGTTTATTAGTTTTCTCTTGTGTCACTGACTTGATGAAGTAGAGGGCCTGTTTCATTACAACAAGCAGACAGAAAACCGGAAGTAAATGGTGAAATACTAACATTCAATGTGTAACTCAGATTGTTGAGGAATTTGTTATTGTTTATGTAGATGGGATTAAACTTATCTAGTTTTTTCTTTAATGTGAAGCTGTGTTCACAGCTGTGTGTGAACCACTCAACATGTAGGTCAGTGCTCTTCATCATGTGATGAGTCAGGTGTGGAGGGCCCTGGATTACTGACAGTTTTTAACAATTTAAAAATATATTTACGGCAGATGTCCTGCACATGTAACAATTCAATAAAATAAACATAAAAAGACCCGAAACCAGAGCGGGTGTTTGTAGAAACACCACATCTACTGGACAACCAGAGGAATGCAGAAGATCCATACTTCTGTCTCCAGTGAAAATWSRCTRAAAGGGCTGGGAACCYGAAAGGTGGTTTCCAGCTTAGAAAATAGCAGCGAACTGAATTATTTCTCAGACTAGAGAGAAAAATAATCCCAGAGAGGAGACAGTGGGAAAAAGATAATAAAGGACAAAATATGAGTGTGTTTTGGTGCAGGTGTGWAGCTGGGCTGGTGAGAACACAGCAGCTTCATCTGGGAACCAACTTGGACGTTCTTGTATTCACTTCTGAATAACATTGAATATGGTTGATTTCAGTACATTTATAACCAATGTAAAATAAAATGACAACTGTTAGTCTAACAACGTCCAAGACATGATTACTGGTTAAGAATCAAAGACWAACTAAATGACTCTTCTCACTRTGCAGCTATAAGCASTAATATTTGTGAGAAAATTAAACAGAACAGGATCACACAAACACATCTTGATTTGAAGAAATAAGAAGAAAAACAAAAAATTTTGAGCATCTGAAATAGACATTTTAAGCATTTGAAATGGACAAATTAAGCATATGAAATAGACGTTAAACAGAACATTAAATGTTAAGAAAAAAAGTATTTTTATTTTATAAATCACTATTAGCAGGTGCCTGAGGGAAGTCCTTGGGCACATTTGCACACATATTAAAACAGTGAGGAGCAGGCAGGGAAAATGTTTAGTTTATGATACTTTTCAGGGGAATTTGGGAAGAAGTTTTCTTTAGGGGGAACATCTTAGTCTCTGAGCCGCAGGGGGTGTTGAGGATGTCAGGAGGTTCACTACAGGAACTACGACTTTATTTTAAATAACATCTGATTCAAGCTTATAATTGATGCAACTAAAAATTGTTCAGAACATTACATGCAAACAATGTTGCATATGATACAATATATGTACACACACACACACACACAGACACACACACACACACACACACACACACACACA